ACGATATAAACAGGACAATTGGCCAAACCCAAGGACACCTTTTACATCCCCAGATCCCAAGTAGAAAGCCTTATTGGTTGTCACACAAAATCTAATCCCTGCAGCAAAGTGGACGGGGAGGGAGAATGGCGTGGAAGCTCCCAGGCCAGCTAGACTGACATATGCAGCCCCAAACAAAACAACAGGCTTTGGCTCAACAAATGAAGCAGGAGAGAACTTACTGATTTCCTCTGACCACCACATGTGTGCCTTGGCGTGTACGTGCCCAGCACACAAACACATATACTCACATGCACAAGCAACCCACTTGTACAAGCACACACTCACATGCTCACACATGCACACACACACAAAAGCTAAAGTAATTTGAGATTAGATGATATAATCAAATCTATACTGATGAGACCCTAGTGTCTGTGAAGGGTTAGTGTGTTGGACAGGGACAAGGGAACTTGTAAGGGTTAGAGTTTCTTCAGCTACACTTAAAGGTTTTGTAAATTATTCTGAAATAATCCAGTGGATGAAATAATGGTCCCAATGGATGTTCAATTCCAGGCACAGGTTAGAAATCCCCACATTGTACACTACAAACTCATGAGTTGTATGTGACAAGAAGCTTAATAAATCTATGAGTCAATCCCCAAAATAACAAAGTAGAGCATTTAATTAAGCAAAGAAAAAAAATCAAATAACAAACCTAAAACAAAGACCCAGGCCGTTTGGCACCATTGAGTGCTTCAACTCTGAAGCATGCTCAAGGATTGGATCTGCTGTGCTGAACGTGGTTTGGGGTGTTCTGATTGACAGGAGAGCAGGCAGCTCATCTGTTTCTCTAAATTCCTGGAAGCCTACACAGTTCATGGCAAGCCCTTAAGAACCACATGGCCCTTTGTGGGGTTAGAGACAGAGTGTGGGTTGTAAAGGATGTGTCTAGAGTGTCAAGTCCCTCACAGATTGGAAACCATGCTGGAGAGGGATCCAAGCAAGGGCAGACACACAGACACATAGACGGTGAAGCTGGGTTCAGCTGGGTTCTTTAATGAGGCCCATGGCTCCCGGGACCATCGGCCTGTTCATGAGGTACAGCACAGGGGGAGGTCAGCTAGACTGTGCAGAGGTCTCTGTACATGAGCAGACTCAGGCTGGAAACACCCCGGAGGTGGAGGAAACTACAGTTGCTGGTCTGCACACACTGGTCAATCATTGGTAAACAATCATGCTTGACTACCAAGGAAAGTGTGGCCATTCCTCTTGAGCCTGGACCATATGGGTGATGGCTCTGCTTATTGATGGGGGCACAGTTGGTCTCTGAGTCCTAGATGGCCCCATCCAAGTCTAAATATACATTTCCTCAGGACTTCACTCATTCGAGGCTTCCATGTTCCCTACACAGAAGCAGGATGGGGACCATCAGACTGACTGGAAGGAGTTCCAGTCAGGGTCCCTCTCTGCCTCCAGTCTTCTCTAGCAGGCAGATCAGAGCCATGGGCTTCTCTCAGACCCATGCCAGACAGAGCACAGTGTCCATATAGTTCCCTCCTGAGCTCCAGCAGGCAATCCTCCAGGTCTTCATCTGCTCCATTCAGATCCTGGCCAGCTACACAGCCACTGGCAGCTGCTCCCTGACACTTAGGTGTTCTACCAGAGCACCCTGCGTTTGGTGACTTTTCCTCTGGATATAGAATTGATCTTTCCCTTTGTGTGGTACCACTGTGTGCTAGGCATCGAATAAGAGGGAACTGTGACTGAGGATGAACCTCCATCAGATTGTCTATAGCCTACAGAAAAGAGGGTGTATATTTTATTTTATTTTATTTTATTTTATTATTTTATTTTGAGACATGGTTTCTTTGCATAGCTCTTGAAGCCTGTCCTGGAACTCACTTTGTAGACCAGGCTGGCCTTGAACTCACAGAGTTTCACTTGCCTCTAACTCCAAAGGGCTGGGAATGCAGGCATGGGCCTCCACTGCCCAGGCTGGTATTTTCTTCATTAATGACTGGAATGGGAGGGTGGTTGTCCACTAGGGGATGTGACACCACAGGGCAGGAAGTCTGATTTGTATAGGAAAGCCAGCTCAGCAAGCCAGTCAACATATGTTTCACTTCCTGCCTCCAGGTTCCTGCCCTACTTGAGTTCCTGCCTTGACTTCCCTTCAATGATGGTCAATGATCAGGATATGTGAACCAAATAAACCCTTTCTTCCCCAGGTTGCTTTTGGTCCTGGTGATTGGCACATCAATAGAAAGAAACCTAGGACAGACATCTACATTATCCATAGGTCATCAGGGACAGTGGATGCTTTGGTGCCAGAGAATGAATATGGAAGGGAGGCTAAGACACGCCCCCTCTGAGAAAAGGTGTTGGTGGGCAGTTGGTGGGCAGAACTTTGGGGGATGGGCAAGCCCTAACTGCCACAAGCTGGGGTTTAACTTCCATTATAGTAGCCCACTGCTGGAGATGTGGTACTCAGATGGGGACCTTATCTCCTCTTGGCATTTCTAACAGCTCAACTCCCAAAGGAGGAGAACCAAATGGCCATCCCCAGGCACCAGGGAACAAACCATTTCTCCAAATGAAGACTCAAAGCATAGCTTCAGAATAAAAGGAAGGATTGTATACAGCCTTGCTGTGTGGGCAGAAGGTCTGGATGGGCACCAGGCCTGCATTAATCCTGCCTGGGCTAAATGTCTAAGGGTTGGGACCTCAGCCTTGCCCTTCTATGTGCTGTTATCACATCCCACAGTGCCCTCAAGAATGAAGCACCCCTGCGGGCCTTCTCCATGTTCCTCTAAACTATGCTTGACTGCAAGGCTGAAGCTCAATTCAACCAGCCAGCTCCAGTGTGCCACCTACAAACAACAGGATATAGTAGACTTGTAGACATTTGTAGGCCTTGGTAGTCTGGCCAGGTTCTGGAATCTGTACTGGTACATGTGGAAAAACAGCCTCCAGAAAAACAGGGTGAATGCAGTCTGATGCCAAGCAGCAGCCACGAATTAAGAGATCCACCCTGATGCTCTTCATTGCACATGCTGAGGACACAAGAGCCATGCCCAGCCAACTGGCAACTACATAAGCCTTTACTGTTGCCAGTCCCTGTGTTCTGGGGTGGATTATATGCAGTACAGGATGAGGGGTATGAGCCCCTGAGTGCTGTGAGGATACAGGACTCAGCCGGAACAAGGTGAAGAATAATTTTTTTAAAAAAAGGTCTCTACTCACTCATTGAGTGAGACTTGACTCTTCTCTCTGTGAGCCATTCCCAGGAATCTCTACTACAGATTGGACTCCATTAGAGGCTAATTTTACTTGGCTGTGGTTTGACCAATATCAAATTCCTCCTAACGACCAACTGGCCACTTCTGGCATTGCTTTCCTGAAAATGGAATTGGCTGCTGCCCAGATTGACTGTCTCACTCTGTCCTCTCCAGGAGTCCCTTACTAGCTTCCAGCCATGTGCAGTGTCCCAAGGGAACAGCTCCCTCTCTCACTTCAGCCTGGTGTGTGCTCCAATGGTGACTACCTACAAGGAGATCCCTGTCACACTCTGCACATCTGTTCCTCTTTGTCTCGATACCAAAATAGAAGGCAGAAAAATGACAGGACACCACACTTTACAAAAACCTGAGCAGGACCCAACATGATGTCTCTGTGGGCTCAAGAAATCCTGGCAAACATAATACACTGACTGCAGAAGGAGCTTCTAAATGTCTCCTGAGTGAATGAGCCTGGATCTCCAAATTGGAAGATCTTCTGCTGTCCAGATGATGGACTCAGCCTTTTCCTGCAGCTTCTGACTGTTTGTAAAGAAAAGGATGAGCAGGGAGCAAACCCAGAGATGTCTGGGAGGGAGTCTCTCTGAAGGAACTGGAGGAAAGCTTTGTTTTGTGTGCTTTCACTTCTTTTTACTGACTGGCTGGGGGAGATGAGCAAGTCTTCAGTGATTTTTTTCTTTTGGGCACAAAAGCACCTTCCTCAAATATGTACCACTCGCCCTGGGGAAAGTGTCAGCAAAGAAAAAATAATAATAAAGCCAGCTCAGGGAGAACAGACATCTCCTATATCCTATGGTGAAAAAGCAAAAATCTTGACTCAAACCTCCCATGTTAAAGCTGAAATGTGACTTTAGAAACTTTAGCCATGTAAAGGGAAATGAAAGTGGTGAACATGAGAGGCACTTTGGGAAAGGTAGTTTGTAGTGGCATGCCAATATAGAGAAATGCAGCTTGGGAAATGAAGTCTGAAATATAGTGATGCTATAGAGAAAAGCATGCTGGGAAAGCCAGCACCGGCAATACCTGCATGCCCAATTCCTCACTGGGCTCTGCAGGTTGCTTCTTTCAGGGGAGCCACTTTATTGGTGAACATAGGATGGGCTTGTGTGTTTGGAGCCCAAGGGAGGCAGCACACTCTTGACAGGCAAGCCCTGATTCCATTGTGCAGTCTCTTGAAGCCTCTGATGTTCAGAAGGGGCGAAGCCTTTTCCATGTTAAAGTCCAGGCGAGGGGCCAGGTCATTTCCTCTTCCAACATACTGCTGAAGATACTTGGGACAACCGAAGCATTTGATAGGGAGCATAGCCAAAAGTGGGGCCCTATTCTGGGGACAACGTACAGGCATGGAGGCACTGCTAGCCACCTCCTTGCCTGGTGCTGTTGGCACAATAGGCAGGTGCTATGGTGAGGGCTGGGTGTGGAAGAGGCCAAAGGAGGGTTCCCTGGCCCTTCATTTTAGGTGAAGTCCAGAGATAGAGAGATGCACTCATGATGGGGGAGAGGTAAATCCACGGTTCAAAGGATTGGCTGAGGTTATGGGGCCAAGGAAAATCCCAGATTCTTGTGTAACTACTCTTTGATGATGAGGTATGTCCCCATCATTTCATTATATTTTCTATTTACAAAGGATTACAAGATGGCAGTGACATTAAACCCAAGACCACAGTGTGTCTAGGACATTGGGATATAAATATGTGTCTCTTGGGATGTTTTTCTCCCATTTCATGAGCCATAAATGTTGCTGAAGTTCTTCAGTGGAGGGTCTCCTCTGTGGGGCAACTGCCAGCATTTAGTGATTTAGGTTTTCAAGTGACCCAGAGACAAGAGCTGGAATGTCATAAGTCCGTTTTATGA